CCAACACCCGCAGCAACTCCAGCCCCAGAAGTACCCGCAGGTCCAGCAGCTCCAGTACTCCCAGTACGAGCACCTCCGGGACCCGTGGCACCAGCTCCCTCAGAAGCAACAGAACCTCCAGTACCCGCAGCACCTCCAGCTCCAGCAGCTCCAGCAGCTCGCCTCCAGCGCCGGGCAAACCACTCACGCAGCTCCTGGGGAGAGAGTGGCTCTCGGCGAGAGGGAGCACCCGGTGAACCGCCAGGCACAGCACCACCAGGCGTAGCACCCCCAGGCTCAGCACCCCCAGGCGTAGTACCCCCAGGCTCAGCACCCTCAGACGCAGCACCCCCAGGCTCAGCACCTCCAGGCGTAGTACCCCCAGGCTCAGCACCCCCAGTCGTAGTACCCCCAGACTCAGCACCCCCAGGCTCAGCACCCCCAGGCTCAGCACCCCCAGGCGTAGCACCCACACGCTCAGCACCCCCAGAGTCAGCACCCCCAGGCTCAGCACCCTCAGCAGCACCAGAGTCACCAGCGACCTCGACAGGCTCAACAGCGTCTACCTGGGACACACCTGAAGGGGCAGGACCCTGAGGGGGGAGGGGGTCTACCGGGGGGGGACCTGGTACAAGGAAGAGCGGTGGCGGGGGGAGGGACGGAGTGCGGTAGGGGAAGAGGCGGTAGTAGGGGACCGACTCGTTGAACGTGACGTCCTGGGAGGACAGAACACGGCGAGAGGTAGGGTGGTAGAACTGCCACCCTGGGGCGTCAGGGGGGAAACCCAGGAAGACGCAAGGAGCAGCACGAGGGGACAGCTTGTCCGCAGACAAGTCGCGGACAAACGCCCGAGATCCCCAGACACGGAACGCAGACGCATCGCCAACCTTCCCCGTCCACAGCAAAGCTGGGGAGGTCTCCGGCATGGAGACCCTGGGCTGAAGGTTGATCTGATGCGCCGCGTACCGAACCGCAAACGGCCACAGAAAATGGGGGGCAGCCGCATGCATCATGGACGTACGGGCGACGTCCATGACCATGCCAATGCGGCGCTCAGCAATCCCATTTTGCTGTGGAGAGTCCGGAAGCGTGAAGGTCTGGCGGATGCCTCGTGCACGACAGTAGGCTCGCAGAAGGCCAGAGGAGAACTCTCCGCCTCTGTCAGAGTGCAGACACAGAACAGGAAAGTCCGAGCCAAAGCTCCGCCTGAGCTGGAGACGAGCTGCGCGGATCCAGTCGATCAACACCTCAGTGACATCACCCTTGCTGCGCAAGGGGAAGACTGTGGTGTAACGCGAGTAGTCGTCAACCACCAGCAGGAAGTAGCGCTCGTGACCCTGTCCACGGACGCGGGCCGGGCCCCACACGTCCATGTGAAGCGTCTGCAGCGGGGCCTCTGTCGGAGGAAACTGGGAGGAGTGAGGGGTAGCCCGCTGCCGTCCCTCGACACAGGGGACGCAGGTAGGGCCTGGCCCCGGAGGAAGGGGAGGGAGGGACCGGGGAAGACCAGAGACAAGGACACGGGAGGCCATGCTCCGGAGACGAAGCAGGGAGGGGTGGCCAAGGCGGTGGTGCCAGAGGAGAGTCTCGTGAGACAGGAGGCGACACGAGCAGGGGGCAGACTCAGGACCAGACCTGGACGCTGCAGCAAACACCTGACCCGACGCAGCTACCTGACCAGACGCAGGGACTGGAGGAGACGCAGTGGTCAGTGTGTACAGGCTCGACCCTGACCGACGTGTAAACGTGGCCAGGTGGCGGCCTGTCCGAGCGTCCGTGCAGTGGGTCACCCGCTGACTCGCAGGAGTGAACTGGTGAACCCCCGCATCCTGTAGGTCAGCACCACTCACCAAGTTCGTAGAGAACGAGGGGAGGTAGAGACCAGACAGGGTGCCAGAGGGGGCCGCCGGACACGGGAGGACAGTGGAGAAGTGAGCAAGGACAGGACCCCCAGAGGGGTCTGCCAGGGAGACCGCAACTGGCCGGCCAAGCGGCGTGAGTGTGGTGCGGTCTCGAAAGAAGGAGCGAGAAGCCCCCGAGTCAAGTGTGAAGGTGTGGGAGGCCGAAGCCGACGCAGAACCTGAGAGAGCAGACTCACCAGCACCTGAGGGAGCAGACGCACCTAGAGCAGCAGCCTCGCTAGCACCTAGAGCAGCAGCCTCACCAGTACCTAGAGCAGCAGTCTCAATGCCCGGGTCGGGCGGAAAACACCGGTAACAGTCACCCTCATCACTAATAGTCACAGTATACACGGCAGCAAGAATGACATCAAAGTCAAGGTCAAAGACAGCTACACCCGCCCTAGACAGCTCACCCCAGCGGGGGATCTCAGTGGCCTTAGGGAACTGGTGACGCCAAGCGTCCGTGAGGCGGCCAAAGCAGCGCTGGGTGGAGTGCGCACCCCCGCACTGCTCACCCGCGCGGTCGCCGGTGCGCAGGACGTAGGTGCACGGACCAGCACCCCCACCCCTCTGGCGTGCAGTGTACCACTCACGGAGCTGCTGAGGGGAGGGGACGTCACGAGTGCGCTGCTGCTGCTGCTGCTGCTGCTGCTGCTGCTGCTGCTGCTGCTGCTGCTGCTGCTGGCGCTGACCACCACCGGAGCTGACCCTCTGCGCAGCGCCACCCCGACCAGCTCCACCTCCTCCGCCGCCTCCTCCTCCACCGCCGCCACCACCGCTCCCTCCGCCACCGCCGCTAGAGGCTAGACAAATATCACATTCTGACACACCTCCATAGTCAAGTGGGGTATAATCAGCACAGCAAATAGTCATAGAGGAGGTTCACAAGTACAAGCAAAGTTAGAGGCATTCACAAAGGGCAAGTGAGGAGGAGGAGGTGGGATTGTAAGAGGAGAGGAGATAGGAGGCGACGGCTGAAGCTGCAGACACACGGGCAACAGGAGCAGCTGGCAGAGCGGCTACCGGAGCAGCGCCCCGGACAACTGGAGTAACTGGCTCCGCGGCTAAGACGAGCGGCAGGAGCAACGGACCCACAGGCGACTGGCGCAGCAGGCTCGCTGGGCCACCGGAGCAGAGCCCCCGACTACTGGCGCTGCTGACGACACGACGGCTGCCTCCGCTCAACCTCCCCCAACTGTCCCACCCCCCTTTCACACACCCCCTGCTGCACCCCTAGCTCCAATCCCGTGTCACCCCCGTAGCGCGACTCCCTCGGCTCCCACACACCCACCCCCCTCAGCGGCAGCTGCAGGAGTGGGAGAGAGAGGAGGAGGAGAGAGGAGGAGGAGGAGCAAGGGATGGCTCACACACCCGCCACCCCCATACCCCCAACGCAGGCGAGGCGCGCGCGGCGCGGGACAGATACGCGGACAGCAGCTGGGGCAGCGGGCGAGCGGAAGCGGGGCGTCGCGCTGGTCCCTGGGGCGCCTCGACGGGCGATGGTTGGGGGTGACGCGCGGGCCCTCGGGGCGCCACGACCGGCGATGGGAGGGGGCGACGCGCGGGCCCCCGGGGCGCCTCGACGGGCGACGGGAAGAGGCGACGCGCGGGCCCCCGGGGCGCCACGACGGGCGACGAAAGGGGGCAACGTGCGGGCCCCTGGGGCGCCACGACGGGCGACGGGAGGGAGGGCGACGCGCGGGCCCCCGCTGCGGGCGACGGGAGGGGGAGCGATGCGCAGGCCCCCACGGCACCACGACGGGCGACGGGAGGGGACAGCGCGCGGGCCCCCGGGGCACCACGACGGGGGACCGCCGCGCGCTCCCGGGGCGCGCGACGGGCAGGCGCGTGGCGGGCAGAAAACCGCCGCGCGCCCCAAGCGCGCGGCAGGAAGAAAAAACGCCACGCGTGCAGGGTGCGCGGCAGGCAGAAGACGTCGCGCGCCTGAGGCTCGCGACAGGTAGGACAACAACGGAAGCAGGTGGGCCCACAGGCCAGGAGCGATCTCGCTCTGATAGCATGTCAGAAACAGAAGCAGAAAGTTTAGAACAGGAAAGAGGGGTTGCACTAGCAGACAGTTGAGTACATATAGGAAACCCTAATTTGGGCTATACCCGCTGTAGAGTACCCCACTGCAGGTTAGACAAATATCACATTCTGGCAGTTGTACTCTCGGCTTTGTTTTTGTTTGTGCAGGGAGCGTGAGTTGCATTTGCTGTTTTTTCTTTCCTGTGCAGGGAGTTCAAGCTGCATTCATTGTTTCTGGCGGAAATAGAGGGGGGGGAGGGGGAGGAAGGGAGGTCAGGGAGAGGGAGAAGAATAGGGGACAAGCTAGCTATGATTTGTACATGGCTGAACTGAACCTAGGCTTGGGCATTGACCCGACTCGGGTCGGGTAACCCGACCCGACCCGACCTTTTTGGCGGGTCGGATCTTTATCTAGCTGAGGACTACCCGGTCGGGTCGGGTAGGGTCTACCCGTGTCGAATATTCATTACCCGCTACCCGACCCATGTAATTAGGGTCGGGTTTTCGATACCCGACCCGAAAACGGGCCATTTACCCGTTGGTTGCTCGGGTTACACTACCCGACGCGCCGTGCACAGAGTTACTAGCCGTAAAACTCGACATTGTTCCAACTAAAACACACCATAGAACAGTGTCAAAGTTATATTTAAGATATATCCTTCTTGCTGTAGTTACTGTAGTTATTGTTCTTTGCTGTTGGTGGTGCACCTCTTGTTTGTGTTTCTTGACTATATCTTGTATGCTTTGCTTTAGTGAAGCTAACTTGTTTGGTCAATTTCTCTCGACACTCCCTTGGCCTTGACCTCGACAATAGCACGGCCTAGGCTACTAAGCCTAGGCCCTCCTTAAACCCGGTCACCAGCTACTATAGTGTTTTGACATGGTATTGAGCTAGGTCGTTCTCGACCTAATTTCCTAACGGCCCACCGTTAGCTTTCGCGATGGCGCGTCCCGTCAAGCAGCAAATCGCGGCCCCCTCCGTCCCTCCCCGTCGCTCGCCCGTAGCAAAATCCGTCACGGTAGTTGTGACGGACGCAACGGTCGCGGCGGGAGTGACGGCGCACGTCGATCCACTGTTTCGCGCCGCCGCTCTTACCCCCCGTCGGCCCCTCGACCTGCCACTGCCTTCCCCGTCGCCCTTCCCCGCCACGCTGCCTCGTCGCGGCTCCCTGGCGCGGAAACATCGACGGTCGCTGTGGGGGGGAGAGGGAGGACGGGAAGGGATTGGCGGCGGAACGCTGTGGGGGGGAGAGGGAAAGGGGGAAGGGAGTGGCGGCGGAATGCTGTGGGGGAGAGAGGAAAAGGGGAAGGGAGTGGCGGCGGAAAACCAGCGATCACCGCCAGAGCACCGGCGATCGCACCAGCGCTTGCGCGCCTCCTACCGTCAGATCCCGCCCAGCCTGTAGCCCGTCTCCAGCTCGTCCCACCCGTCGCACCCCATCAGCACCAGGCACCAGGCACCAGCACCAGGCACCAGCACCAGCACCAGCCGCCAGCACCAGGCACCAGGCACCAGCACCAGGCACCAGGAACCAGCACCAGCGCCAGCCGCCAGCACCAGGAACCAGCACCAGCGCCAGCCGCCAGCACCAGGAACCAGCACCAGCGCCAGCCGCCAGCACCAGGAACCAGCACCAGCGCCAGCCGTCAGCAGAGCACCCCGCCAGCAGAGAACCCCGCCAGCAGAGAACCCCGCCAGCAGAGAACCCCGCCAGCAGAGAACTCCGCCAGCAGAGAACCCCGCCAGCAGAGAACCCCGCCAGCAGAGCACCCCGCCAGCAGAGAACCCCGCCAGCAGAGCACCCCGCCAGCAAAGAACCCCGCCAGCAGAGAACCCCACCAGCAGAGAACCCCACCAGCAGAGAACCCCGCCAGCAGAGAACCCCGCCAGCAGAGAACCCAGCCAGCAGAGAACCTCGCCAGCAGAGAACTCAGCCAGCAGACCACCCCGCCAGTAGAGAACCCCGCCAGCAGAGAACCCCACCAGCAAAGAACCCCGCCAGCAGAGAACCCCGCCAGCAGAGAACCCCGCCAGCAGCTCCTGCTCCTCATACTGAGGTGACTGAATGTCGTGAGCCTGAGACTCGTGCTTCCACACCTGTTCGTGCTCGTTGTGTCCCACGTCCTCGTCCTCTTGCTGTCCCAGGCACTCACATTATGGCACTTCGTCCTTCCTCTGTTCCACAGCGTGCTGCCCTGTCTTCTCCTCCGGCGTCCCCTCTTCCTGACGTTCTTGACCCTGAGTCCGACCTTGCTCGCGCTGCAAGTCCTATTGTCACTCGTCTCCTCGCTACTGTCGTCACTGACCCTGGCTTTGAGTCTACTGCTGCGTTTGCCCTAGTCACTGAGCAAGTCGACTTTGCTGCTAGGAGTCGTCTTGACTACGTCGCGAGTCTTGTTACTGAGTCTGAGTCTGTCTGTCCTCCATCCGTAGGGGGTGAGCTTGCCCTTGGCTGTGACGTCCTTGAGGACAGGCAGTTTGAGCTTCAGTGTCTCGCGGCCGCATTACCTCGTTTCGCGTCCATGCTGCTTTGCCCTGAGGGAGACCCAGATGCACTTGACATCCCCATCCCGTGCTCTTACGGAGAGGCGATCACGGGTGAGTACTCCTCTTAGTGGAAGACAGCCATGGATGCAAAGATGGCTTCCTAGAAGTCCACAGGCACCTACATCGACGAGGTCCCCCTCCTGGGGTGAACATAGTCGATGGCATGTGGATTTTCAGAGTGAAGCGGCCGCCGGGTTCTCCGCCCGCCTTCAAGGCGCGTTACGTTGCTCGAGGCTTCAGTCAGCGACAGGGGGTCGACTTCTACCAGACCTTCTCCCCCACCCCGAAGATGACTACTCTTCGAGTATTGCTACACGTTGTGTTGAAGTTAGAGAATCCATGGATGGCGAGAGATTTTGGTGAGGTGAAAGAAAGTTAAATTAGGAAGAGAAATGTCGAGGTACAAAAGAGAGAGGGTTGGAAACCCTAATTGAACCTAGGGTGTGTTTGGTTTGTACTAAAAACTATGAAATGAACCTAAAATGAACATGAATGTGTAACTCTCTCTACGCATGGAGAAATAACATAAGAACACCAAAATAAAGGCCAGAGCGAGCTCTAGCCTACTCCAACACGTTGCAGCACAGCGTGACTACCAGCTGGACTCCCTCGACTTCTCCACAGCTTTCTTGCAAGGCAGCCTTCACGAGGAGATCTGGCTGCGCCGCCCACATGGCTTCACTGGGCCGTTTCCAGAGGGTACCCAGTGGAGCCTCCGGTGGCCAGTCTACGGTCTCTACCAGGCGCCCCGCGAGTGGCACGACACACTGAGGACGACACTTGCGGCTCTTGTGTTTGCTCCTTCCACTGCTGACCCGACGCTGTTTCTGCGCACCAACCCTACTCTGCCGCCGTTCTACATTCTCGTGTACATTGACGACTTGGTCTTTGCTATTGCTCACACTGAGGCGCTGGCCCTTGTGAAAGCGGAGCTGCAGAAGAGACACCCTTGCACTGACCAGGGTGAGCTGTGTAGCTATCTTGACATGCAGATCACCCGGGACAGAGCACGGTGCACCATCACCCTGACTCAGTCACACATGGTGCACCAGGTCCTTCAGCGCTTCCGCTTTCGGTTCTCCTCGCCACAGCCCACTCCTCTGCCTACAGGCCACTCGGTCTCAGCTCCACCTTCGGACGAGTCCGTAGAGCCGAGTGGCCCGTATCCAGAGCTTGTGGGCTGCCTCATGTACCTGATGACATGCACATGACCTGACCTCGCGTACACTCTCAGCATCCTTGCTCACTTCGTCGCCCCCGGGAGACACAAGAAGGAGCACTGGACAGCTGCGTAGAGGGTACTGCGTTACTTGTGCAGTACATCGGGCATGGGGCTTGTGCTTGGAGGACGGGGTCCAGTGGTACTCACAGGACACTCCGACGCTTCTTGGGCTGACGGCCAGGCGACTCAGCGGTCGTCCCAGGGTTACTCTTTCAGTTTCGGCTCTGGTTCTATCTCGTGGAGGTCCACTCGTTCGTCTTCTGTGCTTGGTTCCAGCTGTGAGGCCGAGATCTACGCTGGGGCCATGGCTGCACAGGAGTTATGCTGGCTGACCTACCTGCTGACCAACTTGGGTGAGCGGCCTTGTTCTCCTGTAGTTCTGTACGTTGACAACAAGGCCATGATTGCCTTATGTCAGGAGCACAGAACGAAGCACATTGCTCTTCGTTACTTTCTTATTCGGGAGCTGCAGCAGCATGGTCAACTGCGCCTTGCTTACGTGGCCTCTCGGGCCAACACTGCTGATGTCTTCACCAAGGCCCTTGGATCTGGTGATAATCAGTGTTTCTGCACTGCTCTAGGTCTTGTGCCTACTCTGCCTCACCTGCTGGTTGCTTGACTTGTCTTGTACTGTGAACTATATATCTATATACCTGCATGCTTGTTCTTGCTAGGTTGTGATCAGTGTACTGCCTTGTGCTTGTATAGCTCTGCATGTGAACTGGCCTTGTGGTCGCTTGCTTGTACTCAGAATGCATGGTGATCTTGAGATCCACCCTGAGCTTTGCTTTGCTTTGTTCTCTTGCTTGACTGGTCTTCTGACCGTCCGTTCTGTTTGCTATCCCCCACTTTGCCTATGGGGGTGTGTCAAATTGTGTTTGTTCTCTGTAGGCTGAAGTGGGGCATACCCTAAAGGGTACAACACTTTAGGGCTAGGAAGTACTTGTACTTACTCTTCCTACCTAGTCAATCATTCGTACGTTCCTATTCTGACACTTTTCCGTACCATATCAATCGGAGTTGCCGCATTGATGCATTTAGTATTCGCTTCAAAACATGCACAATTTTCAAATGTGGTTCTTGTATACCGTATTCTCCCGGAAAAAACACCCGCCGAAATTGTACACCCCCCAGGTAGCTTGTGCGGGGTGGGTGCTATAGGCGACCTCGTTTGTACTATACCCCCCTTTTTGGGTGATCTTTTATAACACCCTGTCAAAATATGTTTGCATGTTGTCTATAATCGTTTGAAGGTGTAGTGTAGTTATTGCTTCATTCTTGGTGGTGCACCATTGTTCCTGCCTATTTGAACTTGTCACTCCACTTCATTCTTTTCGCTTGCCAAACAACTCTCTCGATACTCACCCTTCCTCGCTAAACCCTAGGTCACTAAGGTGTAAGTTATGAGGCTTTTCTGACACACCCCCCTTTTCTTACAAAATCCTTACTATAGTTGCTAACGAGTAGGTGCAAGTACGGGACGATATCGCGAAAATCTCTCCCTTGATGAAATTTTGCGGTTCTTTCACTTTGAATCTGCCAAGATTTCTCCCCTCCCACTATTTCGTTGTCACCACACACTGGTGAATCTTCCGTTGCAAGTGACAGAGAGGTGCCACGTGGCATTTTTGAGGGGGTGATTCTAAGAAATATTTGTGAAGGAATGATGAATGACTAGCAACAGGGAGATACAAGTATGAAACCCTAACAAGGGTTGTACCATATACTGAGCACCTCACTGTAGCCTAGCAGAGCCAAGAACATACAAATATGTTTTGACACACCCCCCTAGGCAAAGTGAGGGATGGCCAACACAACAAACGGTCACAATACCAAACAAGCAAGAGAACAAAGTAATGCAAAGCCCAGGGTGGATCTCAAGATCACCACTCATTCTGAGCACAAGCAAGCAGCCACAAGGCCAGTTCACATGCAGAGCTATAATAACAAGGCAGTACACTGATCACAACCTAACAAAAGTAGACATGCAGGTAAAAATATAAATATCAGTGTACAACAAGTACAAGATCAAGAGACAAGCAGGTGAGGCAGAACGGGCAGAAGCCCTAGAGCAGTGCAAAAACGCTCATGAACACCAGACCCGAGGGCCTTGGTGAAGACATGAGCAGTTCGGGCTCGAGAGGCCACATAAGAAAGGCGAAGCTGACCACGCTGCTGCAGCTCTCGAGCAAGAAAATAGCGAAGAGCAATGTGCTTCGTTCTGTGCTCCAGTCTCTGCTCGTGACACAAGGCCAGCATGGCCTTGTTGTCGACGTACAGAGCTGGAGGAGACCCGAGACCGCTCCCCCAAGTCGGTCAGCTGGTAGGTCAGCCAGCGTAGTTTCTGTGCAGCCATAGCCCCAGCGTAGATCCCAGCCTCACAGCTAAACGAGTGGACGAGTGGACCTTCACGAGACATAACCAGAGCCAAGACTGAAGGTGTAACCCTGTGACGAATGCTGAGTTGTCTGGTCGTTGGCCCAAGAAGCGTCGGAGTGTCCTGTGAGTACCAC